AACTATCTTTCATTTAAAAATTGCAATGATCCAGGATGGGTTTAAAAAAAATTTTTTTTTGTGCTGGGCAGGGGTACATGTGATGTTTACAAATGCTCTTATAATATATGAAATATATCATACTTGAATTTATCCCCTCCACCATTCTCCTTTATTTCCTTATCCCCCCATTCCTGAAATAGATTCAACAGGTAGATCATGTTGAAGGTACCACGGACGTAGTACTGAAAAGCAGTGATCTGCTCCTCCAGCAAGTTTGTTCCATTATCAGTTACTCACTGGATTTGAAGGTTTTTTCACTCCTTATCCCAAAGTCGGAAGGAGACACATCCCTTGCTTAATTACTTTTGCAGGGTGTTAGTTCTAACATCTGATATTTTGAACTACTTTAGAAAAGTGAGACTGTCATGTAAATACATGCTCATTGTATGAAACAAAACTAGTCTTCCTTCTTTCCTCAGGGTACTGAAAATTTATGGCTACTTAGCAAACCCATGTAGTAATTTTCTGCAGTATAGATTGGCCTAGAATACAAGTTAATTTTTTCTTTGCCCTTCATCAGTATATAATTTCTTCATTAACTGCTTTCACTTTATCAAAAGGAAATCTATTAGCTGATTTGAAAATAAATAAAATGGTTAACTTTTTAAAAAAATTTTTTATTTTATTCATATGTGCATACAATGTTTGGGTCGTTTCTACCCCCTTCCCCCCTCCCCCTCCTTAACCCCCCTTTACCCCTCACTATCAGGCAGAAAAAAACCTATTCTGCCCTTATCTCTAATTTTGTTGAAGAGAGAGTATAAGCAATAATAGGAAGGACCAAGGGTTTTTGCTAGTTGAGATAAGGATAGCTATACAGAGAGTTGACTCGCATTGGTTTCCTGTACATGTGTGTTATCTTCTAAGTTAATTCTTCTCGAACTAACCTTTTCTCTAGTTTCTGGTCCCCTTCTCCTATTGGTCTCAGTTGCTTTAAAGTATCTGCTTTAGTTTCTCTGTGTGAGGGCAACAAATGCTATCTATTTTTTTGGGTGTCTTACCTATCCTTATAACTGCCTTGTGTGCTCTTGCTTTATCATGTGATCAAAGTCCAATTACCCTGTTGTGTTTGCCCTTGGTCTAATGTCCACATATGAGGGAGAACATACGATTTTTGGTCTTTTGGGCCAGGCTAACCTCACTCAGAATAATGTTCTCCAATTCCATCCATTTACCTGCGAATGATAACATTTCATTCTTCTTCATGGCTGCATAAAATTCCATTGTGTATAAATACCACAGTTTCTTAATCCATTCATCAGTGGTGGGGCATCTTGGCTGTTTCCATAACTTGGCTATTGTGAATAGTGCCGCAATAAACATGGGTGTGCAAGTGCCTCTGGAGTAACCTGTGTCACATTCTTTTGGGTATATCCCCAAGAGTGGTATTGCTGGATCATATGGTAGATCAATGTTTAGCTTTTTAAGTAGCCTCCAAATTTTTTTCCAGAGTGGTTGTACTAGTTTACATTCCCACCAACAGTGTAAGAGGGTTCCTTCCCTCCCCCCAATCCTCCCCAACACCTGTTGTTAGTAGTGTTGCTAATGATGGTTATTTTAACAGGGGTGAGGTGGAATCTTAGTGTGATTTTAATTTTATTTCCTTTATTGCTAGGGATGGTGAGCATTTTTTCATGTGTTTTTTTGGCCATCTGAATTTCTTCTTTTGAGAAAGTTCTGTTTAGTTCACGTGCCTGTTTCTTTATTGGTTCATTAATTTTGGGAGAATTTAGTTTTTAAAGTTCCCTATATATTCTGGTTATCAGTCCTGTGTCTGATGTGTAGCTGGCAAATATTTTCTCTCATTCTGTGGGTGGTCTCTTCAGTTTAGAGACCATTTCTTTTGATGAACAGAAGCTTTTTAGTTTTATGAAGTACCATTTATCTATGCTATCTCTTAGTTGCTGTGCTGCTGGGGTTCCATTGAGAAAGTTCTTGCCTATACCTATTAATTCCAGAGTTAAAATGGTTAACTTTTGCAGTTATCAAATTGTGCTTTTTTTTTTTTTTTTGATGAACATTCTGTAGGTAGCATACTCTTACATTTGCATTAGCAGTCATTCAACTAATAGTTACAGTTATGCTAATAATAATAGTTAAGATAATTAAAAATTAACATGTATTGAATGCCTACTATATGCTAAAGGGTAAGGGTTGGATCAGAACTTTTAAGACAAAGGTGTGAATTTTGATAGTGCAACAGATCTAATCATATAATTGTGAATTCACTGGAATGTTGAGTGTTTTTGCATAGTTTCTTATAGTTAGAAAATATAACTGAGGTGTTTGGTAAATGTTTGTCAGCTCTTTGTTGGTGCCTGCTAGGTAGATTTGTGCTAGCCTTAATTTCTTTTTCATGATGCATTATTATATCCACATTTGTAGAATCTTAATTCTTTGGTAACATACTATTGATCATTGTAGGTATGGTGTATAGGGACTAAATGATGTGAGAATCATGTTTTTAAAAAGGAACTTATTATTTTTTATATCTTACAACAAATTTTATATCTTATAACCACTTTCTATTCTTAAAAAGTATGTTATTTATTATATTTATGGTGCTTTATAAACCAAATGACTCTTCTGAGGACTTAAAAAATAAAGTATTTTAAGAGATTATATTGATGCACTTTCATTTAAAAAAATTCACATAGCTATGAAACAGCACACAGGGGTACTAGACATACAGTAATAATGGTTTAGAAAATTGAAATTTCAGTTTAAAACTTGCTTATTCTCACTCTAGAAGTGAAATAAAATATTTTACATTAGAAACATGAATTTAGAATTGAGAATAATTTACTTATACATAAAATTTTATTGTGATCCATCAGGTGGAAATTTAATCACTATTTTTCTTAAAGCAAGAAGCTCAGGTTATATATATATTTTCACCCTATAAGTTCTGATTTCCTTCTTTCTTTTCCCCTTCTCCCCTGCTTCCCCTTCCTTTCTTTTCCCTCTCTTCCTTTTTTGATCAGTAACTTTTTTAAGTTTGAAAGCTATGCTAAAGTTATTAATTTCTCTTCATAACAATTTATTTTCTTCTCAAGATTTAGAGAGCATATGCTCTGTATGTTAAGATAAATTATTTTACCTAATGGAACTACAAAGATTGTGAGACTACTCCTCAATGACTGAATCATACCACAATTACCCTTGCTAGTTTAATGGTTGACTAGGACTTGTTCACATAGATAAGATTTCTGTATGTGATTATTATTTCATGGACAAAAATATTATAGTAAATATTTATATCTTTATATGATCAAGTTTTTTTCTGAAAAAATGAGTACATTTATTGAATAGCTATTCAAATATATTAGCCTTCCCTAAAATTTTATATAAAATTTAAAAATCAATGCTATATTTTAAATATATTTTAATTATATTGATTAGTCCTTACTGAGTGAAATTGATCAACCAGCAAACTGAAGTTAGTTCTGCAACTTTAATTTTTAAAATTAAGTCATAGAAGTAACTATGATTTTATAACTACAGTACTGTAATCGCCATGATATTAAAAAAACTGGTAAAATTCTGTGATGAATTTGTATGTCATAAACTTATAATCAAACATGTTTTCTATCATATGCTAAATTGAAACTATTTCTGTTAGATTGTTCCACAGAAACTTTTATTAGATAGGATGTTTTCACTTGTTAGGATTCTGGTAAAATGCTGGGGGTAACTACTGTATTTATAATGAAGTTTATACAAATAGTGAACACTTGTAAAATTATTGAGTAACCTGTCACTCATGACCATGAATATATAGTTCTGATTCACTTAACTTTAATTTAATCTTGAGATTTTTTTGTAGGGATCCAATATTTGCTTCTGAGAGTTCTAGCAGATCAATCTAGTTTTAGACTCTTAAATGCTCTAGCAAAACTTAAAGCATGCTCACTCGTTGGTTGTAAGATTTGTCTGTGAATATAACCAGGAAGAGAGGATGTTTGATAGGGACTTAGAGAAACAAACTTTATTTATTTATTTATTTTGAATTTTAACCATTTTATTTATTTATTTATTATTATTCATATGTGCATACAAGGCTTGGGTCATTTCTCCCCCCTGCTCCCACCCCCTTCCTTACGACCCACTCCGCCCCCTCCCTCTCCCCCCTACCCCTTTAATACCCAGCAGAAACTATTTTGCCCTTATTTCTAATTTTGTTGTAGAGAGAGTATAAGCCATAATAGGAAGGAACAAGGGTTTTTGCTGGTTGAGATAAGGATAGCTATACAGGGAGTTGACTCACATTAATTTCCTGTGCATGTGTGTTTCCTTCTAGGTTAATTCTTTTTGATCTAACCTTTTCTCTAGTTCCTGGTCCCCTTTTCCTATTGGCCTCAGTTGCTTTTAAGGTATCCGCTTTAGTTTCTCTGCGTTAAGGGCAACAAATGCTAACTAATTTCTTAGGTGTCTTACCTATCCTCATATCTCCTTTGTGTGCTCTCGCTTTATCATGTGCTCAAAGTCCAATCCCCTTGTTGTGTTTACCCTTGATCTAATGTACACATATGAGGGAGAACATATGATTTTTGGTCTTTTGGACCAGGCTAACCTCACTCAGAATGATGTTCTCCAATTCCATCCATTTACCAGCGAATGATAACATTTCGTTCTTCTTCATGGCTGCATAAAATTCCATTGTGTATAGATACCACATTTTCTTAATCCATTCATCAGTGGTGGGGCATCTTGGCTGAGAGAAACAAACTTTAGCATTTGATTTTGGGGAAAATCATTTTACGTTTTACTTGGTAGGAATAAGGATTTGCACGTAAGTGTCAATAGGCATTGACATTCTCGAAGAGTCAATCCAATAGAAATGTAAAGAAGTTTATATGGTTTGCTTAAAATTCCTAATCTATCAGAAATTTATTGTGCTTATTCATGATAGTTTCTAAATTCTGTCCATATATAGATTGGGAAATATTTCCCTTTTGAGATCATTCAGTTGCAGAATATTATTATATTTTGGGACAGTAATATATTAAGATATAGGAGCACAGAATAGTTTTTGCTCTTGAGATTTACAAGAGGAGGAGAGAGACTAGTCTATGGAATTAATCTGAAAAAGAGCTAATAGGTCTGGATTTAAGCAATTTTAGTAATTAAAAGTACACTGAATCTAATGAGATCTGGCACTTGATTTTTCTGAAATGAATTACCTACTCTTTTCTGCACTTTCCACAGGAAATCAGTTTCCTCCCATTGCAGCACAGGACCTTCCTTTTGTTCTAAAGGCTGGCTATCTTGAAAAACGCAGAAAAGGTAAGCTATAGATTTTAATGAAAAAGCTAACAGTGGTTTTGTCCTTTGCTAAAACATGTTTGCAGGATATATGTGGCACCAATGTAACTTTAAATAATTTTAATAACACAATATTAGGTCAGGTTTTTAGTTGCCAGACTGGTCTATTTTTAAATAATTCAGGAACAGTGTCCTACATCTTCTACAAAAGTGATGGGCCATGACTGTGTTCTCAAGGATGGGATTGCTCACCATTATCCCACCCTGCTGAGCAGCAAGCTATCTTGCACCCAACCTGGTGTATACCAGGTCTGCTATGGTTCAAATCAAGCCTGGGACCTTGTCTGCCATTGTCTATTATTTATTCGAGTGTTCCTCTCCATTGGTCATGATAATTAAGAGTTGACCAGATGGTCTCCCTCTTTTAACACCAAAATTTAATGGAAATGAAATATGGAGGTGGTGTTATGATACGAGAAATGAAAGCACAAAATCCTTCACTACTGTTCTACTTATCTCTCAGGTCACCCATCTGGGCTCTTCTATTTATATTCTGTTTGCTTTTCTTAGCTTTCTTAGCTGAATTTTAAAGCTGAAGGAGATAATAGAAATAATCTAGGTCAGTTCCTTTCCCCTCCCTTTAATAACAGCTAGTACATGGCAGATCAATTACCTCAGGACTGTGTAGTCAGATGCCTCTTTTGAAGCTATCTCTGTCAGGAAAGTTTGGTGTTCAGGAAAGTTGGTCCCATAAGTGTGGCAGCCATCTCTGCTGTACTTTATGCCTTTGACTTTGTTGGTTTTTTTATTTTGTTTTATTTTTCTCTTGGAGTAGAAGATATGGAAGATACAAATTAGTCACAGAATTAGAGCTAAAAGGAAACAGACTTTGCATTAACTAACTTTTCCTTTTACAATAAGTAAATGGGCTTATATTTATATGTCATGTAAATTATCTAAACTGTTCTTCCCCCTGCTTTATTGCAGATCACAGCTTTCTCGGATTTGAATGGCAGAAACGATGGTGTGCCCTCAGTAAAACAGTGTTCTATTATTATGGAAGTGACAAAGGTAGTGTTGATATTCAATTATATAAACTTCTGTTGCATGAGAGTTTGATGATCATTTTTCTGCCTCCTTCCCTAATTTTTGGGTACAGAATAAACTGAAGACAAATTGAGAAATTTAAGAATATTTATTTTTAATTAATTTTGAATTAGTAGTATACATTAATAATATGGGAATTTCATTGTGGTAATCTCTTATACGTGCACAGTGTACTTTGAGTAAGTTCACCCCTCCATTATATTCCCATTCCTCCCTCCATCCTCCCCCTTTTTTTTGAATACTGCGTTTGGTTGGTTTTGTGCGCCGTCTTTGAATTGAACATACGCATGTAGTGTATTTTAGGTACTCTTTCCTCCTCTTAGTGTCCTTTCCTTCTTCCCTCTCCAGCTAAGAATTTTTAACAATTATGGTCTAAGACGCTTTTATAATTCTATTACATTGCTTGACAAATGCTTTGAATTCAAGAATGCCCTAAAAGTTAATGCAATTATATTTTATTGAATTAGAAAAGAGAGTATAAGTTAACTTTTTATCCATGTAACCTTTCATCTTAGGAAATATGTATCATCCAGACTACAGTTGTAGAATTTTGTGAAATGCAAAGACTATAGAGATGTTAGAATATTGGAGACAGGAAAAGAAAGTATTTTTTTTTTAAATTTCACATAAAATGTGTACGAAAACCTTTCTGGACCCCTTTTACAGATGTCAATAATAATGGCAAACATCTATGTAGAGTTTTTTATATTCTAGCCCTGAATGTTTGGTATCTATCTGTCTGAGTGTTTGGTATCTATCTATGCAAGTCAGCCATATTAATGTAACTCACAACAGCCCTGTGAAGTTAGTACTATTATCAGCCCACTTATTTTACTGTTAGGAAAACTGAGGGCTCAGAGGCTATTTTGTTCAAAGTCACCAAGCTAGTACATGGCAGATCTGGAATTTATCTACCACCTAAGCAGTATGTTTATTGTTCAGGTTCCTAATTACTTTTGTCACTGTATTAATTTATAAACAATAAGATACACTTTACAGCTTCATTTATTAATTAATAAACATTTTAGTCATCGTTCACATGATTTTACATTTCTTATCTAAATAAAGTCACAAAATAATGAAATTTAAAGAATTTAAACTCTTAGTTTTGCTTTCTTCTAGAGAAAGCAGACCAGAAGCTGAATATTATGAAATAAGGGTCATAAAGAAGTAGGTAACATTCACTTCCAGAAAGGGCACTTTAAGGAGAATAAGAAGACAAAAAAGCCCAGTACCACAGAATGTAAAATTTCCCATGGAATTATGAGTGTTGTTTGGAAATTTATGTTTTATTTGATATTATTTGCAATTTTTCCTTACTCTAAAAGCATGCAGATGAGATTATTGTATTTCAGAAAAATTTGAGATACTTACATTATGCTAGAAGTTGGTCTCACCCTTTGGCTAATAGGATTTAAAAATTAAGAATTCACTGGCTAGTTTGTGTTCCATCATTAGTTGGTGCAGCCTTCTTTCTTCTGCTCTATGCAAGTAGGTAACTGTGTCAGAAAATTTAGAGTCCAAGTTCAGTTATGGTTATCATAAATCATAAACTTGTATTTCTGTCACAGAAATACAATTTTTGGTAATATTATGAATTGCAAGATTATACTTTTCTGCAAAAAAAAATTCTCTTTTTTCACTAGAGTAGGTGAAGGAGGTTTCAAATCCTTATGACTTTGGTTCAATTAGGCTTCTCCTAATTTCTCTAAGAATCAGTGAATTTCTGCCATTCCTGAGTAGTGTACACCAACAAAGGTCAAAGGTCAGCAAATCTTCCTAAAACCCAAGGAGTGTTTATATTTATTTCAGAAGCTAGTATTCTAAAAGAAATTCTACTTAGAATTTTTTGTATATCAGTTAAGTTCCCATTCCTATTCTTATGTTTTGAGACCTCATGGGATAACATTCTTAATGATTTTCATTTTGACTGCTTTGTGATCCATTGGCTCCCTGAAGACTTCTGCTTTTTATAAATTCGCATTCTAATATTCCCTTTTCTTGTTGGTATTTGGAGATCTGTCTTGTAGTTCCTTAAATTCTTCCTATTTACTACTATGAAGCCTTCTGTTTCTAGCGTGATTTCAGGTTGTCTTTAGAGGTTCTTTCTCCTCAGGCTGCTTCCTTTGGAATTCTCAGTATCTCTCCTTTTAGAGACTCTGAAAAAAATTCTACCTTTACACATTTTTTACTTAGTTTTTTGGTGTGATATTGATTTCCTTTCTCTAGACCTTTTCTTTCCAGAAGAATGTGTCAAGTAGTATTTTATTTCCTTTTGTGAAATCAGGTAGCTGAGTTGTATAGCCTTACTTTTATGTGTGAACTATTACCTAAACTTTGGAAAGAACTGTTTAGATATATGAGAACTATAATCCTCCAACTAATAGGATTTAGATAAATGAATTATAGAGGTACAAGAAGGAGTTGATACCACTTACTGGGTTAAACTATATTTTGTTACTGTTTGACAGATGCTTAGCTCACATTTCTTTCTTACTGTGTGTGCCAAAAAACATATTGACCTATCAAGTCAGTAATGGCTTAGAAAAAGTAGGTCTATTCTCTAGAGTATATAATACACTTACCTTTGTATCCATAAATATTGTCTGTATTTATTATTCATAGCCATTTGGGGCCCTTAAGTATCACTTTATGAAATCCCATCCGTCCCCTTTCTCTCCTTCCTTTTCTTGTGATGGTCATGAATCTCATTCATAGATTTCCACCATCCTAGATGTTCAGATTTCCATCAACACATTCATTCATTCATTCATTACTCATTTATTTACATTTTTACTTGGTAAACATTTGTTGACACTTGGTAGATAAACACTGGAGATCCAAAGATTCTTAGAGGTGCTTACAGTTTGGGTTGTGCGGTGTCTGAGAGGAAGAGGGGATACCATGGGATCAGAGATAGGGGTTAGTCAGCTAGACATAATTTCAATGCAATGAAGAAAGTAAACAAAATATCTTTGGAACATGAAAGAAGGAATGCTAATGCCTAGAGGAATTAGGGAAGACTTCCTGGGGAAGAGGATATTTTATCTTGCCTTGAAGAATGAGTAGGAGTTTGCTGGTGATATAGTTTGAATATCTCTGTCTCAAAATTTATATGTTGGAATTTAATTTCTAAGGAGATGGTGTTAAGGGGTGGGGCTTTTAGGAGGTGATTAGGCCATAAAGGCTTGACCCTCATGAATGATATGTCATGAGGACTTATGAATATAAGTCTTTGCTATGGATTAAGGAAGAATAAGGCTTTACTAAGGCTTTCATTTTAAGTATAGCATTTAGCAGAGGGCTATATGGTCAGAGTCGGTTTTTAAGAAGTAATCGTTATAGTATTGTGGAGGTTGGACTGGAATGGATAGAACCTGGTTCAGTAGGACCATTTAAGAGGACACTGAACACAGTTCAGTGAACTAGTGAAGCAAGAGAGTTTAACACAGGACTGCTGAGAGGCAGAGCAGAGATTAAATACAGATCTCTGGCTCCAAAGTTGTACTTTCCCCGTAACCTTGTGATTAATTATCACTATTCCAGGGTGCCCATAAAAGATGGTTCAGTTAGGAACCTGTTTCAAGCTCATGGGTTTTGTTTTTGTTTTTCCTTTTTCTGCTTCCTTTACATATGATCTTGAATTGGCATTGTGATATGAACTTATCCTTCCCCTCTTTTGAGGAGGAGTCGGATTGGCAGCTTATACTACCTACTTTTTCAGGGCTTACCCTGCTCTCCCCCACCCTCATCTCCCAATTAAACAGTATCTCAGTACCATCTGGTAAGTGGCAGCTGCAAGTATCCTTGGTCCTACCAAGTCATCCTAAATGTATGTCAAAGGTTATTTATTACATCATGTGGTTGTAATTTTTTTCATTATATTTTCAACATATAATAAAAGCTAGTCAAAAATTAGGCTTAATACAGACAATGCAGTATAACAAAATTTTCAGGACTTGGCAGAAAAATAAAATTTTTCATTGAAATTGACCTCCCTGCTCTTATTTCTCCTGCAACTTCATCATTGATAGGAAAAAAGAGAACATGTCTGTTCAGTTTGAAAGTTATTCCTGGGTTAGGACATCAGTATTTTATAATTATGTCATCATGACATGTGAAATATACAAGTGAATTCTAGTATGTTTAAGAATTGTATTGCAAGTTTGTTTTCATTTAGTATGTGAAGGATAATACTATCCTTAAGATGTAGGAACCATTAATTCTCCCTTTTATCAGAAATGATTACAGTTTTATAGACGTTGGGTCTTCAATCTGCAAATGTTAACCTTTAAGCTTATCACAGTAAGCCTTAAGTAAAAATAAGTCTTTATTTTCTGCCTTTATTTAGTTAAGAGATCTTGTAACAGTATAGGGAAATTAAGATGTACGTGTGTTTGTTAATGGGATTTCTTCAACAGGGAGAAATAGATACAAAATTAGTCTTGCTAAGGGTCTGATGACCATGAATGTTATTGTTTTGTAATAAAGCAGGACAGTGTTTGATTTAATATATATCTACACAGATTGAATGAATATATGGACTGAAGTTACATATATTTTAAATCACACCACACTGCCATATTACATATCTACTTATGTAGATATATAGCTGTTGCTATAGCTATATGTGTTTATAGATAAATACACGTATATATTTAGATATATAATTGTAGTGACATCTATACCTATAGATATTCTTTAAGCATCTATGTGTCATGTGCCATTATTGCAAAGCATTATAATACACTGACTCAGAGCTAAGAGCACAGAGAGCCTATAAAACAGTATGGTGTATACAGCCAGCTCATTGGGGCAGTGGGTAAGTGAGGGCTGCTGAGCCAGAAGAGATTGGGTTAAATCATGAAGGTTGACCTGCCCTAGGCAGGAGTTTGGACTTTCCTGTCAAAGGGACAGATAATGTTTTCCAAGCACTGAAGGTAAGCAAATAGCATGACAAGCTC